GTCAATTTGAACTTTAATACCATACCATACCATAAAGTTAAAGTGTTAGGGGTTCCGGGAAGGCAAAAAAAATGAGTGACTGTGGTAAAAAGTCACTTGAAATGTAAACGTCTCTTTGCTGTGCATCACTACATAGAACAAAGTCGTCCCGCTGTCTCTCTGTCCCTATGTACGCTTAGATCTTTAAAACTACGCAACGGATCTTGATGCGGTTTTTTTTACTAAATAGAGTGATTCAAGAGGAAGGTTTATATGTATAATACATCGCACCCGTGCGAAGCCGGGGCGGGTCGCTAGTTCCAAATATAATTCATAATCTATGAATCTATAGCATAGAGTAACTTTGTTATCACCGAGAAAGTCATCGGGTAACGGGTACTATAGTACCAAAAAAATAACATTATGACTTTGATATAATACTGGCCATTCGCCATAAATAAAAATATTGTTTTTAAAATTATTCTTTTGGATGTTCCTTATTACTGACACGATCGTTCTTACGTATGTATATATTTTCTGCTTAATAAAACGTAATAACTAGGTTTTGTATTATTCATCTGACTTATGTGCACCGCCAGGAACCATGGCACCTACGCGAGCGATCATCAACTAGCGCGTTTTGTTTATAAAAATAGCTTCATAGAGACGTTCTAAACCGCACTCGCCGGCGAGTGCGGCAAACATATACTAGGTTCCGCCACGTACCTGGCAGGTTCTCCCCAGTTCAAGATAGAAGCGTTGCTGGAGTTTCTTCCGCCACTTCTTCTCCCAGCGCCAACGCTTTACAAAGTGGTAGTAACGGTAGCTCTAGAGATCCCCCCAGTCAGATAACAGCTAGAAATTATTCAACGAAATAAATTTAACTGGCAACAACTTTCAAGCAGAACGCCATAATAAAATCCTAGAGAATGTAATCACTACGTTTAAAATAAAATTTAGAAAGTTTATAACTGTAAGTGCGTTACGTGTGAAGTGATTGTGGACTTAATAAAATATATCTTAAACGATGATCGTGAAGAATAAGGCTACAATATTCTTTTATGGTTAAGTAGTTTTAGCACTTTAAAGTATTGTTTGAGATGGGAACAATGGCTACCGGTTGATATGTTAATTACAAAGAAATGTGTGTCTATTTTGACACAAAACTGTTTGAAAATGAAATAATAGTTCATAATTAGTATATCAATATACTTGTTTTTATATCAATTCAAGTGTTTTCGATAAGAATCTATTACTTGAACAATTGTGTTCAATATTGGGCGCCTGCTGTTGTCAATGGACTTTGACAACAGGGGCGGATACCATGACAACATCCGCGGGTTGTCATGGTATCCGCCATAGTTACCCATAGTTACTAATATAATAAGGGTTTGTACGGATTACTAAACGATCTAAATATTCATTAACGTTATCGACCAATCAGCCTCCTCAGTTGCTTGGGGAAGCTCTACGAGCGGCTCATATTAAATAGACTCAAAGAGTACGTATTTTCAAACAGCCTTGTACCAGTTGAACAATTTGGCTTTCGAGCTAGAAACTCCTGTCCCGACCAATTCTACCGCCTGACGGAACACAATCTGAAAGGCCTTAATCACCCCAAACACCTGAGCACCGAGGCTCTCTTATTCGATGTGAAAAAAGCCTTCGACAAGGTCTGGCATAACAGCTTACTTTAAAAGCTGTTCGTACTCAACGTGCCAGACAAACTCGTGCACACCATCCGGGCCTTCCTGTTCGCTCCTTGCGATACCGAGTATAGGACAGCCTATCTACGAACCGCCCACTCACGACGGGCGTTTATCAAGGCTCCTGCCTCTCCCCCTTGCTTTTTACGCTCTACAAGAGTGACATACCAAAATATCCGCACGTCAATCTCAAGCTTTTCACGGATGACACTGCGCTCTTTTACACAGATAAAAATCTTAGTCGACTCACTACTCGTCTCCAATGAAGAATAGAAATAAATCCCGAAAAGAGTGTCTTACTCGTCACATCTTTATAAGGGTCCTCGCCAATGCAGAAAGCTAGGGCAAATATCTCTTTATGGCCAACAACTCCCCTGGGAGAAAAAGGTCAAATATCTAGGAATCACTTTCGATTCACGCATGACGTTCACCTCGCATATTAACGAAATTAGAACCGCGTTCGTCTTCGGCCGGCTCTATCACCCAACCAATCCGTGAAATAAAATGCCCTTAAGGCACAAATCGTTACTAATATTATAAACGCAAAGGTTTGTATATATGGATGGATGTTTGTTACTCTTTCACGCAACTACTACCGAATCATCATCATCATCAAAATGATGAAACTTTACAATAATAATAGTGAGTTCTGGCTAGGCCACCGGTTCTGCGTTCGATGAAGCTTTAATATTTTAAGGACTGAAAACGTAACATCAGTTATAGGAAAAAAAAGCATAAAAATTAATACGTTCGTAAGTTAGCTTCGGTACGGAAAGCAGTTTCTGTTGAAAAGAAACCGGCGAGAAACTCAACAGTGAAACTTTCAGTTTACAGTAAAATATGGTACAGGTATAATAGTCGTAATTATACCTGTATACTTTTAATTTTGCGTTGAAGTTGATCAAGTGGCAGACTTAATATCGCCTGGGGGATTTTAATAATAAAAACCCGGGAGTACTGAGCGTTTTCGACCGGGAGACCGTATGGAAGGAGAAAGAGCTCCACGGGAGGTTGTACAAGGCTATACACGAGCCTTTTGTAGATACTCTTGCCTCCCTTAACTGGCTACGTTTCGGTGACCTCTTTGGGGAAACCGAAGGTTTCTTTGTGGATACAGGATCAGGTTATTAAGACGAACAACTATCGGAAACATCTTTAACATCTGGCACCGTCGACATCTGTAGAGCTTGTCGCCATCCCGGGGAGTCGCTGCGGCATGTAATCTCCGGTTGTTCCATGCTTTCTAACTGAATATCTGCATAGATAGAATCCTACACCGGGAGCTCGCTCTGAAAAACGGCCTCGTGGATCGGAAACTGCCATACTACAAGTACTATCAGGAGGCCGTGCTCGAAAATGACCGCGCCAGGCTCTAATGGGACCGGCCCTTCATCACGGACAGGATGATTGTTGCGAACGAACCTGATATCGTGGTGATGGACTGGGCACAGTCGCAGGTATTTTTGGTCGACATTTGCATTCCGTATGACAAAAACCTCGTGAAAGCCGAAACAGATAAGAAGACAAAGTATTTGGACCTGGCTCACATGTCGAGGTGACCGACATGTGGGGTGGTGTCCCAACCGAAATTATCCCGATAGTCGTTTCTGCCAATGGGTTAATCCCAGTCAGCCTCTCCAAACATCTGAGGCAACTCGGCCTCCGGGACGGATCGTTCCAAGCTCAAATGCAGAAGGCGGTGCTCCTCGATACCGCCCGCATCGTCCGCCGGTTTCTCTCCCTTTCGACCTAACCCTCGGCCGTTTGGTCTCCCCTGCAGAGGGCTTCCGTCTGGTTGGGTCCTATTTATGTATGTATTATATACAATATTTATATCTATATGTTAATATTTATTTTATATAAGCAATATACAAATATGTGTTTATTTCTATTTATAAACTCAACCAGACGAGAAATTTAAATATACCCATCCTCTATTTGCCATAACCCAAAAAAAGAGAAAAATATGAACTAAAAAAAGATATAAGATAAAACGATAATAAACAAAAAAAATATATGTATAACATTTTGGCGAAAAGGTGATAAGCTCAGCGATTTCTGGGAATTTCTCAGTGCCGATTTTCAGCTTATCTCTTAGTAAAGCTTTACATCATCATATACAAAGATTAACAGCGGTATATTTTATTATACATGTATACACTTTGCCCCCATGACGAACTATTTACTTTTTGTAGACGAAACAATGGCGTAATTAATTGGTCCTTATTTCTAGTATGTAATTTATTTTTGTAACTATTCTTTAGGTAACAATGAAGTGTCTAACATATAAAATACTACAATAAATATATTGCGACGCAAAAATGTGTATATTAATCTCTTTAAAAAGATCACTGAGTGTATTCCGGGTTATAGATTGCTCGGACAGCTCTTTTTTGAAGAATAAGTATAGAATTTATATCAGATGCACTACCCCACAATAAAATGCCGTACGATAAGATGCTATGAAAATAAAGTAAACAAGTCTAGCAGTGTCGATGTCTGTTAGCTGCCTAATCTTCTTAATCGCAAATCAGCGGAGCTTAGCCTGCTCGCAAGAGATGATAGATGGGGACTCCACTGGAGCTTTGAATCTACTATAATCCCCAAGAAAACAGCGGACACAACAGGATTAAAGAATACGATATTTAATAATAAATTAAAACTTTACCTAATAAATAAAATTCTTACGGATTTATCGCGTTTATTTTATTTTTTAATTTTAATTCCCGAAGTCGAGTTGGCATTTGGCAACACCACAATAATCTTTATAATTTTTTGGCGGGAAGCTTGAATGGAAATTGCAATTAATAATCAATAAACGTGATTAACTGATTACATTCTCTGTTAATAATCACCGATCACCGACCGAACCGTATAATAAAAATAAAAAAGCACAGTATAGATCCCTAATGTAGGCGCAAGAACTTAGCCAGGATTTATTTCAATATCATTGCAAACTTATTTTGATGCAAGTTGTTAACGTATATGGTTGGTTAGTTTATTTGTAAGATCAAGGAGGGAAAAGGTTATCTCAAACAATATCATAAACATTAAACATCATCATTAGCTTATTCCTATCTCAAGTATCTAATAACACAACATCAAGGTCACTCTTGTGCGTTTTTATCATACGTGATATGACTTCCATATGATAAGTTCTATGAATTACTTGAGGTATGTATGGAGAACAAGTGTTTTGTTGTGATTTTTTTAACTATAACGCAATATTTATAAATTAAATTTTATTTTAAAATAAAATTTTAATAACATGAAATCTTATCATATTTCAAGCCTATTAATGAGTGCGGTAGAATTATGAAAGACACTTACTTTGTCGGGGTTGATGTTGGATCAGGCAGTGTCAGGGCAGCTCTTGTTGATCAAAATGGGCATGTATTGCAAACATCAGTAAAGGATCTTAAAATATGGAAACCAGAAGTCAATTTTTATGAACAATCATCAAATGACATTTGGTTTTCCTGTGAAGATGTCATAAAGGTGAATATTTCTAGAATTTTGCAGTGAATATCGTGGGTTCGATTATTAAGGGTGTGGCAATTATGATGTGTTAACTATATCATAAAAATTATGTTAATATGTTAAGGCCTCTTTTTATTTTTGATGATAAAACATTTTTTACATATTGTTACTTATAGTTAAGTTCTCTTATGTTCATTTCTGAATTTTATACAAGAATAATGTGGCAAACTTGATGGACATGGACAATAGTATCCTTACTAATATTATAAAGGTGAAAGTTTGTATGTATGGATGGATGTTTGTTACTCCTTCATGCAAATACTACTGAATGGATTTTAATGAAACTACAATAAGAAATTTCTGTCTTTTAGTCTGAATGTTACGGCTTCAGCCTATTCTACGCAGACATAGTCGCAGGCAGCAGCTAGTAAATATATATATCTATAGTATAAGTAAAGACTTATTTGTTGAAAGAATCTTTTTAAATTTCATAGCGTTTAATAAAAATTTATAACATATTTAGTTTCACCAATGTGTTTAACGTAGATAAATAGAAGACTAAAACAAAACTGCCCGCTGTTGTTGAAGTTCATGCTATAATAACATATTAAATATATCTTAATTTTGAAATTTGATGTCCTCTGTGTATTCAATAAGTATGTGTAAATTTGGATGTTGCTGTAACTCTGCAAATAGTTTTTTTTCTTTATAAATAATTGTGATTTCTTTTTTTTCATGAATTATTAGAATTTCAAGTCTGTGATCCTTTTACTGAAGAAACTAAGTAAATATTTTATTGGTTTTGAAGTACGAGATTAAAATCTTCATTCGCAAAAATTTAGGTTTTCTATAGTTTAAGTTTGTCATAACTTCACAAAGCATAATTCAGTTTTCCAGCCACATTTCTCTAAGAAGTTTTAACATTAATTGGTTTCTTTTTTCAAAATTTCAGAAAGTCATAACAAATGTTAGACCAGAACATATCAAAGGTATTGGCTTTGATGCTACATGTTCTCTAGTAGCATTAGATAAAAATGGAAATCCGTTAGCAGTAAGCAATTCAAACAACAATGAACAAAATGTGATCATGTGGATGGATCATAGAGCTGAATCGGAGGCAGAGTTCATTAATAAAAGTGGTCATGAGATCCTCAAATATGTTGGTGGAAAAGTGAGCCTTGAAATGGAAATACCCAAACTTCTCTGGATGAAGAAACGCTTACCAAACAGATGGCGAGACTTTGGGTATTTTTTTGATTTACCAGATTTTCTTACATGGAAAGCCACTGGATCACAGAGTCGATCCTTATGCTCTCTGGTATGCAAATGGAATTACGAATGTTCTGCTGATGGAAGAAGGGGGTGGAGTGAAAGTTTCCTTTCCAATATTGGATTAGAAGATTTGATTGAGTGCAACTTTCAGAAAATAGGTAGTAAAGTTCTAATGCCAGGCGAGAGGTGTGGAGGGTTGAAGAGTGATATTGCCAACTCCCTTGGTCTTCTTCCTGGCACTCCAGTAGCCACATCCATCATAGACGCACATGCTGGTGGTTTAGGAATGATCGGCACTTATGGTGCAGGCATTGACAAAACAATGTCTACCAGGCTTAGCCTGATATGTGGCACATCTACATGTCATATGGCAGTTAACAATAACCCTATTTTAGTTGAGGGTATATGGGGTCCATATTTTAGTGCAATGGTGCCCCACATGTGGTTGAATGAGGCAGGCCAGAGCGCCTCTGGAATGTTGTTGGACTATGTTACTTCCAGTCACCCCGCTGGTATTCAGCTGCTGAAGAAATATACTACCGGGGAGTAAGTGGCCATTTTGTAAATTTCTACTGTTTTCAATTATAAGTTCTGTCAATTTATTATGTATTCCGTATTTAGAGAGAGATTCTGTAGCTGAGAAGTGGTTTCTATAGGTCTCTGATTAAATCTCATCTTGTCTGATAAGGTCTCATTTGAAACAACCTGAGACTAGGATGGGTAGAGTGTGATTTTAACAATTTTGACCTGCAAACCATCTGATGATGCGATAGTTCGTAGGGAATATTGCTAGTAGTTACCATGCGTATAACCATAAGAACAATACGCACCATCTTCACCTACACTCAATCATATTTTAGGTTGCGTAAATATCTAAGGGAATTACTTCAAAAAATGGCCAAACAGCAGAAACTGAGCGATGTTAGCTACCTGACGAAGGACTTTCACATTTGGCCCGACTATCATGGCAACCGCTCTCCCCTCGCCGATCCCAGTATGAAAGGGATGATATGCGGTTTGACGATCGACGACAGCGAGGAAAACTTGGCGCTGCTGTATTTAGCAACCCTACAGGGATTATCGGTAATGCGGCTACTTAGTTCGCGCAAAACTCAAATGCGCCACGGAAGTTTGCCAAAGCTCCCTTGTCTATTGCTATCTCTTTCAAACCCCACCAAATTACTTTCCATCTTGCTCCAAGTACACAAGCTGCCGTGACTGCGGTGGGTGGGTTTGCTATTTATTTCGCACCACACTCAAAATTGCTTTCCGTCTTGCTCCCACTACACGTTATTTTTAACCGACTTCAAAAGGAGGAGATTCTCAATTCGACTGTATTTTTTTTTATGTTTGTTACATCATAACTTTTGACTGAGTGAACCGATTTTGATGATTCTTTTTTTATTTGAAAGTTGGTGCTTCCCATGTGGTCCCATAATTAATAGTAATTTAATAATTCATCATTCCATAATTTCATTGGTATTGGATCCTGGGCTCCGGAGATACTTAGGGAACTCCTGAAAATAAATTATAAAATTAATACAGAGCCAGATATTTGAAGTCGGTTTTGTTTTTCGTTAGTAAAAAAAATTACTATCGATGTATGTGCTTCCGGTCAGTAGACTATAAAACTTCATCGGAGACTTGGCTCGTGGAAAAGCTAAGTTTTCATGAGGCAGCTAAAAATACGCTTGCAGACATGTATTAAATAATAGGGGAAAACATAAGTTAATATTTTGGATCAAGCATCCCTAAACACGCACACTTTGAAAGTTTGTTTATACAATAAGTACACGAGCGGTAGTCACTCATAACACGCAATCAGAGACAGTTTTAGCGCGTCGTTTGTTAATCATGGCTCCATCTAGACAAGTATATAATTAAAGTGTTGTACAAACCCCAGTACTCACAACCATTGGTAAACTAAAAGTACATCGCTTAAAGTGTTAAACACAATTCAAATTCAATAGTTTACATAATTTATTTCTCTATTGGCTTATTTTCTATATTAATTTGTAAAAAACCCTCCTTAAAATATTTAAAAATGCACATGTATAATTTCATAAATATTTATGATAACAATTAGAATATTTATTAAGTCACGTCGTCACTGCGTAAACAAATAACACCCTATATTTCATGTTTCAGTACGGTACCCGACACATAATCGATGCATTGCTACTAGCAGGATATGAACCGTTTAAATCACTGCTCATTTGCGGCGGCTTATCGAAGGATCCTTTATATGTACAAATACAGGCGGACGCAACCGGGCTGCCCATTCTCAAGCCTCGCGAACCGGAATCTGTTTTACTTGGCTCAGCTATCTTAGCAGCATGTGCGTCTCAATACTTCAATAATGTCCAAGCCGCCGTCGAAAAGATGGGCGGTTCCGCTGACGTGGTGGGACCGAATGTAAATACGAGGATGTTCCACGATAAAAAGTACAGGGTGTTTCTAAGAATGGTTCAGGATCAACTCAAGTATCGAGCTATAATGTGTTCGTGACATTTTCGTAGCGAATTCTGGTCATAATCTATAAATATAATTATTCTTATATCAATCAACGGGATTAATATTTTTTTCTTATGTCATGGTCAAATACAGATATATCAACTGGTAATAACGGTATTTTATTTTATTCCATAAATAATATGGCTCATTCAATACCCTACCTCGCAGTCCACATTGCCATCTGTCGCTTGCAGGACTGAATGTTTTCGCAACCTGCACGGTGTGAGACAACACCGAGCAGGATTCACCTTGCATCCTGCAAGAGACCTGCAAGCTCCATCCACCTCTTTATTGACGAATACGTTTATTGACAAACAGAATTACGGTACCACAATAGGCAAGGTCTGTCCTGTGATTGCAAATTACGATTGCCATCTATATTACAAAAATTTTTCAAAATCGAATAAGTAACATTTTCAATAGAGTAAGTAAGTACTTTTCAGTAGTCATACGTTAAAGGTGCAAGCCATTTATAAGTTTTTCGTTTCGCATCCTATAGTTACTGAACAACGTTATATGTCGCAAGAACAGAGTATATTGTTATACACAAAGTGGTCTTTAAAAAGGGCTAAACCGTTTTGCAAAATATGTTCTGGTGATCTACTACTATTAGCAATGGTATTCAGAAGTTTTTTTTTTTTAAATTAGGCTTCTTAGAGCGAAAGTAATGGATAACGTGCTCTTACTTTACGCCTGTCGCCTCCTATGTTTGAAACAATATTTATATCGAAACAATATTTATTTAAACCTGAAAAAATATCTGAAGTCTCCATTGGATAAACAGAATCAAAATTTTTGAAGCGAAATTAATTAGAATTCAAAATTAATACTCGGTGTTCATAATTACTATTCGTAGTTTAATGAAATGAAAACAAATTAAATCTATAAGAATATTTTCTCTATGAAACGTTAAAATAAAAATTATAGTCTATGAAAAGTTGGTTAGTTGGCCGAGGTGATTTCGGGTGTAGATTTTTAACTATTATCACATAAAATTTTAGATTCACCACATAACTTCTGAGAAAATGTTTGAAGTATTCGTTCATAATGCGTATAATATAATAATAGCTTCATTTTTCTATTAAAACAATTAATGAATTGTCAATATTGACAAACAGGTACATATATAATCCTACTAAATGGAAATGTTAGAGATTTTCAAGTATCACCGGTTATACATATGGCCTTTCAAGTATAGTTAGACTTTAGAAATCAATAACTTCGAACCGTACGTTAAAAACCTGAAATTTATTTAGTGATTTCAGTTCAGGATGTCGAAGCGCTCAGCAGATGATGGTGGCAATGGCAGTAATCCGCCACCGATCAAAAAGGTTCACTTTGAACCTCATCTCATTGGGCCAGTTTCCACCCTTGAAGAAATGGACATTAAAGTCCTCCAATTTCAAAATAAAAAGTTAGCCCAGGTAATTTCCTCGTAACATAAAAATTGGTAGAAACTTGTAATTACAGTAATAACAGTATTGACTAGATCAGCTGTTTATCTTATTTATGAATTCTTACGAACACCTTTTGCACTTGTACAATCGTTCTTAATGATACATTTATCCGTTTTACTTAATTTAGTTTTTTTTCTTCATAATGATTACTATTTTATAATATTCGAATTTTATTTGATAACCTCCAAACACCAAACCATTTTTACCTTTGTTTTGGCTCTATTCAACTCATTTAAATTAATAGTTAACACTTGCCACTTGTAATATTGGTTTATTTCATCATATGTTTTTGCAAACATCACATTTTCCCTTTATTTTTAGAGAATAGAGCAGAGGCACCGATGTGAAGCAGAATTGAGGGCTAGGATTGAGCAATTGGAAAAACGTCAAACACAGGATGATGCTGTGCTATGTGTTGTCAACCGCTACTGGAATTTACTGAATGAAGACATTAGAGTATTACTGCAGCGTTTTGATGCTGAAACTGCTGATGAATCTGAAAATAAGAGTAATAATCTTTTTGTCCTTCTTTAAAATTCTTTACAACAACAGAGTATTATGATTGTTGCTGCCCAAAACATAGATAGCTTACTAATAAACCCTGTTAAAGATGAGATGTTTAGTATTCATTCTCTCATTAATTAAAGGAGGTTTTCACAGAGGAACTCGTCTAAATATTTCCAATTTTAAAAATATTGGCTGTGAGACAATATACATACATTTTTTTAATTAAATAAAAGTAAGTTTGCATATGATTATCTAATATCAGCTAACCATCCTCAACTCACTGTATAATTCACACACTCTTTTGTTTTAACTATATAAAGTAATGAAACAATAAGAAGAGATGTTATGGTTTTAGGTATACTACATATTTCTGTGTTGTAGATGAGAATGAAGCGACAACTTCATTCTTAATGCAGTTGTCGACATGGGACAAGGAGGAGTTGGATGCTCAGTTAGCAAATAGAGTGCAAGTAAGCAAAAGAGCAGTGGCCAAGGTTTTGCAAGCTTTTGATCGCTTGCAACAAAGAAATGATAAGATTTGGAGAGCAATCAAAGGGGAAGGAGAAGGTAATTTTAGTTACTTATTCATCTAAAAACATTTATTTTTATTTAATATGATGTGCACATATACATGAATATAAATAATGTGATAGCATGTTTGACATATGCATATATTGATGGAAATAAAAGCCATTCCCTATGTAAAATCTGTAGAACCCACAGATTCAATTTGAAAGTCAGCAGTTACATTTGTCTTTAAGATGTTTTGTTTTGGGCACCTGTTAATCCTAAGAAATATTTCTGAAACATGGTATGCATTGAAAATTGGTAAATTCTGCTGAGTACATACCTATTTAGTTTCGTGCTTTAGTTATATATTCTTTTAATTTTTAACATAACTGTGTTTGTTGAAACTAAATAAATGAATATTCATATTTATTTATTCATTCATTCATAATTTATCTAAGGTATTTTTAATATGTCAAAGAGTTCCAAAAAATATGTAATATAGTTTAGTTACATTTTCTTGCTAAAGTAGTAATATTCTTCAAAACAAATTCTGTAATTTTTTGGCTTTGTTGCAAATTAATAATATGAGAACTTTTAATTTATGATAATTATTTTATTTGTTATTATTTTTGCTCCTGTGATGATTCAAATACTCAGATGCCTGGCTGTTAGCTTCAGCGCCAGGGTTCATGGGTTCTATCCCCATATATGACAAGTATTTTTATTGTATAATACCTAGCCAATACCTTTAACAACATGATTCACATGTGGTGCCTGCCCCACCAATGTAGGGCCAGGAGAAACAATTAGTTTGTCCATAAGAAATTTAAAAATTAATTGTTTGTATTTAGTATGATATTGTGTGATTTTCAGAAGGTGCACCAGCGTCATCATTAGATGAAGTAATCCGTGCAACTAATGAAGAGGTCACTGCAGAAAACCGTCGCCTACAAGCCTTATGCACAACATTGCATGAAAGCCACCATGCAATGACACTCCGGGTGGCACAACTTCAAGACGCTGTTAACAGCAGGGATACAGAAAACGCCGAGTTAAAGAATCAAATTGACGATTTACAGTATGAGCTCATGAAGGTAATTATGTATACCTAATTTTGTGAATTACATTTTCAATTTAACTTTTAAAGATTTAAAATGGTGTTTGATTAGTTCTTTATTTTATGTTGAAAATACTATCTTACATCATTACTTAGTGTAAGGAAATAGTTTTGCTAGCTGGAATAGAAGTGGATAGAATCAGGGCTTCGATGATGTATCCCTATGTTTGCATGGAAATCCAATTATCCACCTTTACAGGTTAGATCGAGAAATGACAAATTAGAAAATCATCTAGCTGAGGCAATTGAGAAACTGAAGAGCTACCACCAATCGGGGGCCAGTGCCAGTGGTGCCAACAGTGGTACAGGTTCTGCTGGCGCAACTCCCCTTTCGGCAGCCGCAGCCGCTAAGCTGGAAGACGTGGCAGCAGAATTAGAGGAGCAACGCGAGTTGGCCAACAACCGCCTAGCTGAACTCGACCGCTTGCACCGACAACATAGAGACACATTGAAGGAAGTCGAAAAACTTAAGATGGATGTAAATACCACCCTTCTGGCTTTTGATATATGAATTCCTATCATAAACCAAATCTGTTTCATCTTTTTTAACATGCTATTCAATGAGTTTATAAGTAATTATTTTCCGTGACAGATACGTCAGTTGCCAGAATCAGTTATTGTAGAGACAACAGAATACAAATGTCTGCAAAGCCAGTTCTCAGTTCTCTATAATGAGTCAATGCAGATGAAAACTGCACTTGATGAAACACGTCTCCAACTGCAGAATGCCAAGAATCTTCATATGAGGCAAATTGAAATGATGGAGGTAAGGCAACTACTATATTTGAAATTTAGAGCCTTTTGTAATTATATATCGTTTTAACTTACTTTTTTTTTCGGAGCTATAAACTAAGTAATTTGTGGTCATAGTTAGAATGAATCATTAATAGTTTTGAGTGATTCTCACTCCAGAGCGAAGAATTAGCCAGGCAGAAAGCCTTGCGAGCTGAAATGATACAGTTAGAAGATGTATTAGGTCAATTGCGGAAAGAGTATGAGATGCTGAGGATAGAATTCGAGCAGAACTTGGCAGCCAATGAACAGACGGGCCCAATCAATAGAGAAATGCGACATTTAATAACATCGTTGCAGAATCACAACCAACAGTTGAAGGGCGAAGTATCCAGGTACAAAAGGAAATATAAGGACACCAGCCAGGAATTGAATAAGGTATGATTCATTGTTATTAAGTATGAGGATCGTATATTTGTCTGAAGGTAACAATGGTGCGGTGGTGGTGTCGTGAAATAATTCACATATATGCACTCAGTCCATAAGTGTTTGCATGTTAAAATGCATATCTGCGACTCATCCTCAGTTTTGACCTGTAATATTTTCCGCAGCTACGTAAAGAGACAGAGGAGGCGGCGGCACGTGGCGGCACCACGGCCAGTGGGGAGCAGCCCGACGAGAAACCGCCCCCGATTAAAAAAGAGGAGCCTGACCCCGATGTATGCCGAACACAAACTCTCAAATCTTTCATTGCCGAGGGAGTAGTAGCCAGCCCATTCATCCAGCATATCGATTTGCCAAACGCAGTTGCGTGCCAGTTGGCCCATCGTGCTAAAGCGGATGCGATAGTTATTGAAAAGATCCGTATCCGATACCTCAGATCGTCTGTCTCGTTTTACGTTATCGCTATCTAATAATCGATGGGGGTGGATGGATTGGTTTCCATCGAGTTTGACGGGGACGGTTGGGATTCCAGGGCGAGGAGGGTGGCAGCATGGGTGACAAGCCAGCCGGCAAGGAGCACGCGCGAGGAAAACTGCACGAGCAAGACCAGATCATCAAGGAGTTGAAGCAGCAGCTCAAGTAATTTGCATTTTAACATACTGTGGCTAACACCGAAGAATACTGTACATTTGATCAACCTAAGTGGTGTGCTACCTAAGTAATTTTTGGTTTCATGATTCCTTGATGCCCATAACTGCACCTGCCTGTCTTCTAGGGCAGTATAGATGACACCGGAGTGTGTGTGTGTGTATGTGGTTCGGCGTTTACAGGCTATAGTTAGCTCTATTACACCATTTATATTATTTTACATTAATCCTCAAAGTCAAAAATCTCAAAATTAATGTCAAATCGCAGTAGCTTCTACAGTAAGAGTCCTTGCTCAATTGGTGGAATGCAGTATTCTATTTGTTTTTCTTTATTTTTTTTCAGGAAAGCGGTTAACGAGCAGAAAGAATTGAAATTATTACTCGACATGTACAAGGGCGTTGGCAAAGAGCAGCGTGACAAAGTGCAACTAATGGCTGCCGAGAGAAAGGCGCGACAGGAGCTAGAAGATCACCGGCAGAAAGCTAAAATGGCACAGGTAGAACGAATTCGTTGTCAAAAAAATATATACATAAAGTCTTCAGGCGGTCCATGCTAAAAGCATTTAACATATAACATATAAAGTTAGATTGCTAGGTTTTGTAAATTGATAAGTTTTTTGTTAACATAATTATTATTTGAGCGAACTGCTGTTGCGTGTCGCTAGTCGAGCTTACTGCTAACGGAGAAATGTCCCAGACGTTACTTCGAGTTGGCATTGACCCTTGCGCCATATTCGTACATCAGGCTTTTTAGAACTGAAACTTTTTAATGGCGAGCGGCGATGCACACATGTCTAACCTCAATTCGCAATTTCGTTACCTGAGAGAGATCTCACTCTCACACTAAATCTTTCTAATTCTTTATTTTTTCTATCACGTTTGCGGTGCTACAGGTGGCTTGTTTTATTCTAAAAGTTATACATTCTGCTTTCTTTTTTGCAAGCCATGTTCGATCTTCCAACCCTGAATTAGGGTGCCAAGTATTAAGTAGTTGCTACGGACACCACTCACGGCAGCGTAATGTAGAACGGCTTATCAACCATCACACGGCCTTTGGCAAAACTTACATATTGACGGGCAATAGTTTTCTTTATAACCCCCGTCCAAAACGTAGATTTTAAATTCCAAAGTAACTGAAGTCTTGGCTTCTCTGTATATTGATCAATTGAAGGTTTGATATACTTCACTAACGTGTTATTCAAAAAGTTAACGATAGTAAATTTCCTGGTGAAAATCTAATAGAGTGGTGTGTGCTCGAATGCATACGTTTCGGTGGGAAGGTTCCTAAAGTGAGTTTTGTGCAGGAGAGCAAGCGAGAACGGCGGCTGGCGGATGAAGATGCCCTACGGAAGATTAAGCAGCTTGAAGAACAAAAGTACGAGCTGCAGAAGCAACTGTCGTGTGCTCGTCCCAACTCGGATCCTCTGCACGCCTCCCCCCCCCCCCCCCCCCCCCCCGGCCCCCCCCCCCCCCCCCCCCCCCCCCCCCCCCCCCGCTCCAGACCCTTCGCTGGGTCTCAGGTAATTTGTATATATTTCTAAAATATTTTCTTTTCGTCATTAGTTAGACATACACATTTCCCCACGATTTATTTACCCCGGCGAAGTATTGCTCCCTAACAGAAGATCAGCATGAAGTGGAAGTATTTTATTTTGCATTTCGTTTTTCAAGGTTGGCAATGCATAATCTCATGTGTTTTAGATATTCATGGTATGTTTAATCACTCTTAATATCAGCCGAATGGCCTGTTCTCTCTAACTTTTTACATAAAAAAGAAAATTAGCAGTAGATAAACTCAACTAATAAGAAAATTTTTCGTTATTTCTCTATTAAAGGAGGAGGAGGCGCTTTTAAACGAGATGGAAGTTACGGGGCAAGCGTTTGAAGACATGCAGGAACAAAATTCGCGGCTGATCCAGCAACTGCGAGAGAAGGATGATGCCAATTTCAAGTTGATGTCGGAGCGAATTAAAGCGAACTCCCTGCACAAACTGCTGCGTGAAGAGAAACAATTGCTGCAAGAACAGGTATGTATGGCATAGTAATAATTAAGTGTAAGCATTACATTTTACTCTGAAGAGAAGAAATTGTTCCAGGAACAGGTGTGATAGTAATAATTAAGTTGAAAAAAACTTAATTATTGAGTGTAAAATGTAATCTCAAGAATTTCAACAGTTGACAAAGTAATACATAACTAACTCTACTCCATTACCCAATATCTGGTTATTTGTTGAAGTGTACAATAATTTTATCTGTAAATAAATGCCTTTGTCTGTTTGACAATTTATTTTCGATCCAAATCATCCGTTTCACGTTGATAGTGAGTATTCAACTTTTTTCAAAATGGATTTGTTTTTATACAACCCCCGCTGAAAAATATACTTTATTCTTTGTTTTTCCAGCTTCATGGTTGTCAAAACCTTTCAATGGCACTGATATTACTCACACTTGTAATAACTTTGCTCATTTTGTCGTTTGTTAATTAACTCATGCGGAAAACATTAAAGGCAACATTATATTATCAAGTAAGTTAGCAGTAAACAAAACATCCTTGATACAGTTCTTAAAATCATAAATTTCAGGTGGTGACGAGGGATCAGCAGATTGAATCAATGGGTGCGGTTGCCCGTCGGTTAGAGGAGAAAGAGAGATTGCTTCAGGCGACGCTCTCGGCCGTAGAGAAGGAACTTCTATTACGGCAACAGGCTATGGAGATGCACAAGCGAAAGGCGATCGAGTCAGCACAGTCCGCAGCTGACCTCAAGCTGCATTTAGGTAACTGACGGATATTGCATGAACCAAAAAATTTGTAGAAAAAAGGATTAAGAGCCTTCGACGCTGGGCGAATCGACCCCACGTCTTCCGGATTCACGCCCAGACGCTTCACTTTCACCACCAAGCTAAACGGCTGATTGCCACACCGTCTAAAATCACGTCTTTTAAGCAATGCTCGGCGCATCAATTGGCATGTTATGTTTTCTATAAATTTTAATGTTTCATCTTAATGCAGACATTAGCACTATAAAAATTGCAATTCATGCTTATGCGAAATCCTTTTGCCCTTCGATTATGTTACGGAACGAGACTTCGTTTCACACAACTTGGAACATAACTAGTGCCACCATCTTAACTGGCGTAGGAAATGGTAAAAATACCACAAATCCCTATAATTCCCACAGATCTTCCATTCTAATTCAAAAGGGTGTAGTTTCCTATTCGGCTTAGTTTTGCTATGACCATTAACAAAGCGCAGGGTTAAATATTAAAGGTAATAGGGGGTGAACTTAGAAAAACCGCGCCTCTCCCATGTTTAATTTTATGAAAGACATATAATATCGTCTACTCTACTGTAAATTCGTCTTTTTCTCTACAAAATGTAAATTCATGTTCATTGTTCATGGGGAAAAGTGTGCGCATGTAATAAAATTCCACAGTTGATATTAAGTCCGCCACTAGATCAATTTTAACGCAAAATCAAAAGTAAATTTATGGTTAAAGCATATTATACCATTGTGGAATATCTCGACGACGCCAACGTGTGGATCTACTATTGTGATACTCACGTAGGCTAAAATAAGACTATTATATCTGTACCATATTAAACTGTAAACTGAAATTTTTAAAAAGTGCAACTGTCGATTTTCTTCGTGGTTTCTTCTCAACAGAAACTGCCTTCCGAACTGGCTGTAACTTACTTACGAGCTTATGTATTATTTTTATGTTTATGAATTCGACGTTTCATAAGAACGCGCAAGCGTGTATTTGAATAAAGATAATTTGAATGTGAAAAATGTGCCGCTGAGTTTCTTACGCCGGTTCTTCTCAGGTCAGTGGCTTTCCTTCCGAACCGTGGTAGAGTTTTTTTACTATCAATAAGTGTATGCTTCTATATTGAATAAATATATTTGACTTTGACTTTAATAGTGCTCTGTTTTGTCACATCCATTTGGAAAACAAATCACACTTATATGCTCTGCACGTTAAAATTATGCAGGCAGGATCCACCAGGTGTTCACACTTCTATTGAGGTCAACTTAAAGTACCAGTATTTCAGTACATACACGCAGACAGTGTCGGCGTTCCTCTTAGTATATATTTTTAATTATGGAATGTTCTCATTTATCCTTCCACCAGGAATATGTCATGTATAATAAACAACTCATTGTTAAGTGTACTTTAGACCACGCGCGCGAAGCCTCGGTTAATAAATAGCTCTAGTATTTTAAATACCGTTACGGAACATTTCAGCGTTGCACGTGTACCCTAGAATCTATGATATTTAAGCTCAATTCCCAAATGATTGTTTAGTTTAGCGGAAAAAGATGATTTGCTCGGTCTGTTCTGTCCAGCTTATTTGAGTTTATGGGTAGGATCGGAGGATATACTTTTGATTAAATCTGACGAATTAGTTTGCGTTTACGATTTGCCATGGACACCCGACGATTTGCAGATGCGCTGCGAAACATAAAAATGTGGACAGTTATTTCACTCACCAGACAATATGCTCTACGCTGGTCTACGCCGGTCTTTTGTGAGACCTAGACAAGCTAGTATCCTAGACAAGCTAGCCCGTTTGTGCAATAGCAGAAGATTGGTTAATATGTAAATGATTGCTGGTGCTTATAACAACAATTATACAATTTATTTTATAAGAAGTTACAACGAAATTTATCACAATGATTATATTTATATTTAAAATTTCTCATTTATTGCATTAACTTCGTTTTAAAAATTCGCGAAATTTTAACGTCTGTACGGGAAACTGTTCGACGCGTCGCGAAAATAATTATATTTAACCATGTACATTGTGTGTCCACATAATTATATGATCACACAAACTTAATATGATTGTATATTATTATATCTTGATACTATACTTGCAGAAAAATACCATGCCCAAATGAAAGAAGCGCAGCAAGTCGTCGCGGAGAAGACCAGTGCATTAGAAGCGGAAGCATACAAAACAAAAAGATTACATGTAAGTAAATCAAAAACTAATAAATATCAAAAAACTAATAAATATCAGAATTTATCAATTCAATTCAAATTCTAATACCTTTTTCAACATAAGAGCATTACACTCACTTATTGATAGTCAAAATACTACTGCTGTTATGAAAAAGAAAAGCCATTGACCTGAGAAGAACCAGCGAAAGAAACTCAATGTTATAATTTGCCGAGTTCAGAAATATTTGTTTTTGATTTTCTTGCATGTTTAGTAGTGTAATAAACATGTAGTAAATACAGAAATAAATATACTAAAAAAGTACACATTCATTTAAGAAAAAAATTATTTTATTCATGTAATTTAAATGGGATTTTTCAATCACATGTATATTTTGGTCAAGATTAAAAACATATGATGTTACTTGAGTATGAAAATATAGCATATGGTTATAATATACTTCAGGAGGAGCTTGCCATCCTGAGGCGTAAGGCTGAAAGGATGAAGAAGATGGAACAGGCGGGCAGCAGTATGGATGAAGTGTTACTGGAAGAAATTCGAGAATACAAAGAAACCCTTACGTGTCCGTCATGCAAGGTTAGTAAAATTTACTGTAAACATTCAACTAAGTATTATAATTCAAATAATTATTATAATTCAATTAAGTATTTGTAATGTAAATACCAACAAATTAAATCCAAAAAGCCAGTTATTTACAGATTTGATTCGAGTTGTTCTGGATGTAGACAAATGTATTTATACTTAATTTTTTTTTTTTAAATTATACTTACTTTTTTTCTTTACATTGTACTTGATTATCTCTGAACATAAACTGGCTAGTACTTACTACTATACAGACTAAATGAATGGGTGTGTAAATCTAAAAAAATAAAATGTGTACAAGCTAGCTCAAACTTGAATAAATTTTTTATGTTAGAAAATGGCAAGTGACCTGATGGTTCACCTGATGTTAAGTGATATTTGTCTCGCAAGGACATTTGCAACACCCGTGGGGTTGTCAATGCATTGTCACCTTTATATAATGTGGGCCCCCAGCTATCTCGCTCTCCAGACGAAACGCAGAAGTATGTCACTTCCACTTCCGCTGTTGCGTGGCCCTAAATTCCTTACAATTACATTAAATACACACTACATTTTATGTGTTAAAAAAGATTAAACAAATATATTTATTCATTTTTTATCAATCATAACTTCAGGTAAAACGTAAAGACGCCGTCTTAACGAAATGTTTCCATGTGTTCTGCTGGGACTGTTTGCGGACTCGCTACGAGACGCGCCAAAGGAAGTGTCCGAAATGCAACGCTGCCTTCGGGGCCAACGACTACCACCGACTCTACCTCTCCACATAAGCATATTAGGAGGCATAGCACTTTATCTGTATATACATGACCGGAGGGTAAACTCTAGGAACGCAATGTGTTAAATATGAAATTAATATTTATTTCAACTTAAATCAAACGTCAAATGGAAGAGATCTCAAATGAAGAGTTTAAAGGTCAACCATACTAGCTGATGAGCAAAGGCTAATAAGTGACAATGTAAGCATATAACTATATGCTTATGACCTAAAGAGTTACTGAACCAATTATTGCAGGAGAACAGTTAATGATTGTAAGGTCTGCATTGAAACAAAATGCAATATCATCTGTACATTCATTTAGGATAAGCGGTGTCTAGACTTTTCTGTAAAATATTTTTAAATGGTAAAAACTCTCAGGGTAAAAGACTTTATGCGCAGGATTCAGGAGGATGGATGGGTGTTGTTAGTGTTGGGCAATCAGCTCTGTAACCACAAAAAGTAATGGCTATTATTATTTCAGCAAACAATAATTAGATCTTAACATTATAACAATAACAAAGTAATTAACATGCATAACCGGTGTAGGAAAATAATTGATCAGTTTATGATATTACCATCACTATAAAATGATAGTATTATTAATTTACAAAGAAAATATCAACAAAAATGTTGATGTATTTTCATAATGGGCTAAAATTTGTAAAGATCTCACAGAAGAAGTGATCTGTTTATTTGAAAACTACGATTTAGAATTAAAATTGCATAAAAGCAGTATTGAACAAAATCATTGCATTTGGTTGTGAATAAAATATCTTCACTAAATGACTTAGCATCATTCTGTCTGCAATGAAAGAACTTGTGAAACTATTATGTCTAATACATGTTTATATTCAAGTGTATTAACATTTAAATTATTAACTGCTGTGAATTACTACGTGTATATCTTTAACTATGACAATTGTTGATTATAAAAAGTGGGATAATATGATAGACCACATGGCAGTGGAAAAAAGTTTAGTTGAATTATTTAATAGGGCGTTAACTAATAGAATATTAGGCCAGTTTTCTTGACAAACTATTTTGAACGTGCATCCGAAAATCGGTTGATTATTCATTCCTTATTTTGTAATGCTTTCCATGTATTTAATTATGATTTAAACATACACAATCATTGTAAGAATTTAAAATGCATTTGCGGCCGTGTGCACATACTTGTTTTGTTAGTGTTGTATATTGAGGATATCATGAAATCGAACAAGAGAATTGTCTGTATTTATGTTATAATAATAGAGTAATTTCAGTGACATGGAGTTAGTTTTTGTTTTATAATTTAGTAGGCTTCTGTTATAGATAATGCTTCTGTTTCACTTTGTGTAATGATTGAACTATAGATATTATAAGCAAAGTGATTGACGATAAAATCAGTGTGAATTTGAACAGAAGTGAGAGAAAAGGATAAAACAGTGTCAATGATAGAGACAATGTAGAATTTTAGATAGCTTAATAAATTAGATCACAGCTGTATTATTGACTGATATACTTATTAATTTAGTTTAAGCACAATTTGATATTTGTTATCAGAAATTTTATATATCTCACACAAATGAATGCTACATTTATAAAAAAAATTAAATCAGCACCATGTAGCCTTACAATGTATTTCTTTTCATAAAAATCTGACAAGGTATTTTATTAATGTCTAGAGAGTAACTGGTGTAATGAGCTCCTACGAAAAATTAATCTGGACTTTGTAGTCTATAGTCAATTTTCAAACGCAGCCCTGATTAGCTGTAAAGAGAGAAATAACTTACGATATTTGGTATATTCATGTTAGATACTTGGTGTTACATTGTATCCTCATTCCTTCTTTCTTCATTTTTCCTAAGCAAAAAAATAACAACGCGAATCTTGAACATTGTCTATTTAGAAGTATTCAAAGATGTACTTTTATTATGAATATTGACAAAGAAAAAATATGCAAAGGCAGAATATGAAAACAGCTGAATGAACTTAATTCAACGTTTTATGATAACTGTTTCTAAAATTGTAATATAATTTAATTCATGTGAAATAAATGTCGCAAAAGAATGTATATCTTACTTTTATTTAATCATTGTTATCGATGAAACTATTTTTACGGATTTATTTTTAATTTTAGTTCCCGACATTTCGAACCCTTTACAGCGGTCACGGGACAGGCTGAGGCGTTGGACGTAATGGAAGTCTGAATGTCATATTTAACCCGGAGTACCGTCAGTTCTATAACTGAGTAAAGGGTTCGAAAGGTCTGAGATTAAAATTATATTAACGAGATAAATCCATAAACTCGTAGATATAAGAAATTATCACTAAATTGTTCTTTGAAATTTTTTTTAAAGTATAATTGTTAATATTGCAAAAAAGGTAAAACATATACACACACATAGAGTCGTCTACATCCTAGGATTTTATGAAATTGCCTATTTTAACAAACAGGAATTAAATTTTAAAATATGTAGAAAATAAATTATTTAATCTCCCATAGTTAATATATTTTATTTACATACTTTATATATCTCGCAATTTGACATTTTATTAATAGACACAAGAAAGTATTATTCTAATACATTATTTTACTACATCTGGCATGATTTAACTCTTAAATTAGTTAAGAATTACAATTAACAGTGACCTTAGCACCTGAAAGCAAGCGGCATGGATGGAACGATTATTTCAGTTTTGGTTTTGTACTACTACTCTTTATATTTTTATGAGTGCAAACGAAAATTAAAATAAAGAGAAAAATGCAAATATTATATTCAAAGGAAGTAGTTCCAATTTTAATCACGCCATTTACCTGTTTTTCCATTGTAAATACAATCTCAGTCTCATTTTTTTAAATACAATAACTCGAAAACATTTTAGTAATGTAATAATTACAACAAAATTATAATAGTATTGGCGCGTTTACCTAACTTTAAAATTAATTAAAAGAAGGTAACTCTGCAGTTCGAATTATTTTGTATATCGATTAATTTAATTTCATGTTTCAAAGAAGTATCATAGAACTGTTATTATATTTTGTCTCGAATTTGTCGTAATTTTTTCTTGAATGACAATGACTAGATCAAAAATAAATATTTGATTAGATTATATCATTCATTTTACTATTTACAAATTTATTTTCATTATCTTATAAATTTTCTTTGCTGTTTCTCAATATAAATAACATTTGCATTTGCAAATCAAAGTATTATATCTCGCCTCGAGGAAGACGAATTTCTAATGGCACTTAGAGAAGCAAAGCAATCCACAAAGTCCTTACATGTAATTAATTATAGTGATTGGATTCTTATCTTGTTTCATGCATGTCAATGCAAATCCCTAAACATAAAACTATTACATATTTATTGATTCCTTATTTTCTTCTATGTTTATTTCGGACCAGTAATATTTTTAGAGTTAAACAGTTCAAAATAATTTATTTTACATAATTAGTAATATTCAATTCCATTTTTTTAATCTATATCTCATTTCTTATCATATTATCCAAAGGTTTTATATTAATGACTACTTTAAGGTTAATGTACTTGGGCATGTATGTTTATCATCATAAAAATATAACACAAACTCTCAAATGCCTTGCGGAATGGAATTATAATTAGTCTTAATATTATAGAAATAGCCTAATGAAAACTATACAAAAAATTAATAAAATCCATCGCACATTTCTTCAATTTACAGTCAATTCAAACTTCTTCAGCAAACTCAATGTTGTTTTAATAACGATGACGAATGTCGATACTGGGCGACGTTTAAAAATTCTGCCGCTTTACATCAAATGACGTATTTATAACTTAATGTGACAGATGATATATAACGTATGATACGAAAATAGCAGTCCTTAAAATTTCAATCTAATAATTACACCAATAGGCGTGATTTTAGAACCGGTGCGCTAGTGTAATATCTGCCACACATTTGTATATAATATTATTAGCCAAACTGTCTATAGAGAAAATCTGCAAAAAAAATCGATTGTTTTTGAATTATTCATGTTCACTTTTGAGGTTTATTATTTAATATTCTGAAATTACGACTAAAACCATCTGCTTCATTTTTATTGAAAATGCACCAAAGTTTCAGGTACCTACAGTGTATAAGAGCTTCAAATAAATACTCTTCTGAATAAAATGTAAAGCACGAATAACTCAAGATAAATTTCGAATATTGGCTAAAATTATTAGGCTACATATAACATTGTACAGCTTAGCGTTATTATAACATTGTTTTTAAACGATTTTGTTTGTTTACTTCAGCCCAAAGATATTTTATGACCATGACTAAAATAAAGTGGTCATGAATTCTAATGTAGGACGGTTTTTCATGGCAAGCGCTTTACAAGTTTTTAAGGCTTAGGAAGCGAAACAAGCTATGATAAAATTTTATACAACAGCAAAATAATAAAATGGCGTCGACACTATGTTACATATAACATGTTATGCATGCAGGTAGGTTTGTCTTTGGGGAATTATTTAATGTATGTATATGTAGTTACAATATATTATCAAAAATATGCCATTTCAATTCAAGAAAGTTAAAAGCCTCAAATTATTTTGGGCACATTTTATTAGTATTAATCTAACAAAATATATGTTAGTATTTAGGTATGTAATATCTTTTCCCTTAATGATGGATAATTTTTTATCGAGCTTAAAACCAGTCGACTGTTGAGTGTTTCTACATAATGTATTTCTTAATGTTAAAAATAGTTACAGGAAATTTGTGAAAAACATAAACAATTTTATCTTCAAGAAGATAATTAAGGTAAATGTAAGATGACATAACAATCGTGTATGTAAGTTATCAGCTAGTAATTCCATTGACCAAAATTCGATCGTTATTTACGAAACTGTGTATTATGGTCACTAAAGGAAACATTTTCTAGTCTAACATTTTATACAGCGTGTCGTTACCACCGCGACAATAAATGAACACACATATAGAGGATAACTTTTTAAAATTGTATTAAACATTTACATTCTTTAAACATCAATATTATTAAATTTAATTTTTTATTTTAACCCAGTTATTAAATTTTCCAACACAAACAATTTTAGAACACCCTTACGTATAAAACTGTTTGAATGAATTTAAGAGACAAAACATACTGTTAGGAGAAGCTTATAATGCGACGCTGTGGCGCGAGTTGTATAGCATGATACAAATTTTGTTTCTTTTTTACTAATTAGTTTGTTTGAATTTTTTTTTAATTATGGATTTTGTTTAACATTAATATTTTTTTATGATTTTTGGCAAGTAGCGTTAGACGTGTGTTCATTTATTGTCGCGATGGTAACGACACGCTGTATAAGGTTATAAATTTAAATATTATAATTCTATCCCTTTTTAAACTTGTCCACTTATACCATCTTTTAAATTTTCTAATGCTTAAGGACCAATTGCACATAGTGTGCGGTTATATTGTTTTAGTTCAATTCTCATAAGAAATGGGACTAGTACGCTCCACCGAGTGTATTGTCGCACCGGGCGGTGTACAAATGCGATTGGAAATTCCAAATTATTTTATGTATACTCTACGATTATTCACGAAATAAATTATTTAGTCCATTATTTGGCGTGTATCTAATTTGCCCGCGTAGTATATGTCAGCTGATATACGTGGCGAGGTCAGTGACCGGCGGCTACGATGCGGGCGGCGGTGCGGCTAGCGCGAACGCTAGACGTTCCAGACGCCGCTGCAGCGCTGCAAGTCGCGGCCAGCCGTCTACCGTTGCGAGCGCTCCAAGCGCTTGATCCAGCGCTTCGTATCGCTGCCGCCGTTCAATCTCGCCGCAGCCTATTAGCTCCTGCGGAGAAAGATCCGTTTCACTGTAATCACGCGTATGTCATATCTTTAACAAATTGGAAATTCAATCGTAATTGTTCAAGGAAAAAAGATCACATTGATGGAGGAAAGAGAAGCGAAAGGGGATTGAGTGACCGCCAAAAATCTTGAGCAAGAATCTGGATAGTGAGGGGAAAAGTTTGCACATGTTAGTGGACATGTGCAGACTTTTCCCCTCACTATCGTGCAACCAAGCGCGTAGGTGCTATCAATACTCCTTATATTAGGGATACGGATAACGGCCGCTCGGAATAAGTTGAGAGAGTTATTCGCGGCAGTAGTTAATTCTTGGTCTATTATGCGGGGGCCGAGGAATTAAAGGGTGAATGTGTGTAGGCACCAACACGCTATTGATGGATCAGTCTTTTTCCATAATCTACGCTTTCTTCGCCTCTCTCGTGTTCCCGAGGTACAATCGCGGACAGATTTGTACAATTACTTTGTTCGGTACAGAATATAAAAGATTTCGCTAAATAAGTTTTAGCACGCAAGCAAGAAAAATGTCTAACAACGTGAACGTGTTAAAATGTCACAGCAGCTATTACTTTAATATTCAGCATTTAGTTTGTTAGTGCCGTTAATTTTATGAAGAAAACGCAAAATTTTTTAGTTATCTTCCAAAACAAAGAATCTTAGAACACCCTTAGGTATAAAACTTTAATGTAAAGTTCATTTGTAAAGGTCACAAAGCATATGAATGGATTGAATGAATTTAAAAGAGACAAAACATACTGTTAGAAGGAGAGGCTTGTTCAGGCGCTGTGGCAACGAATGAAAAAGTCTCTGAATGTATGAATCAGTCAGATGTAGTTGTATAGGATGTTACAAATTTTGTTTCTGTTTTTACTTAATTACTTTGTTTGAAAAATGTTTTTTTTTAACGTTAATAATTTTTTGTGATTATTGGCAAGTAATGTTATACGTGTGTTCATTTATTGTCGCGGTGGTAAATACACGCTGTATAATGGTAAATTTATATTCTTTCCCTTAGTTTATCCATTAGTTTTGCGTTCTTTGTTTGTGATGTTTTTTAGTGCAATTATGATGCCATAGAATGTGTACGTATATAAAATGTATTGGAATGTAACGTTTTTATTTATGAAGATGGTTAATTAAAAGGTAGATTTAATACAAGATTTAGTAACAGTTAAGATGTTGTATTTATCCTTTTAGTTTATAGTTACAATCCCTGGACTAGCTCAGATACAATAGTGTCCAAAATATAGAATCATAATAATAAGTTGGGCGTATTGTCTGTTAGGAACAGACTGTTGTAATAATTACAATTAAGTATCTGAGGGAGTAGTGAGAACATAGGACCTACACATTACTTTGTGCGACCATAAAAAGGTTAATGGTTAAAATTAAGATGGTAAAAGTTATGCAATTCAGTTCAGGTACAAAGTCAAATCAGGAAGATAATTTTAAATCTATGTCACCGCAGACACCTGCCCTGTGTGCACAGGTCAGCGTTCAGCTCAGAACCAGCAGAGAAAATCAGGCCAAATGTAGTGTGTACAGCCACACTGTTGGGGGGTTATGTAGGAGACCTCCAACTGGAGGTAAAAAACACTATTTAATCGAGCAGCAGCTCAGACCAGCTTGCCAGCCACCTATGCCTTCAGCATCCACCACGAGGGATAACAAATCCAGCACAGAGTTTCCCAGACAGCAATCACAAATAATATGACCAGGGACGTGTTCTGATTTCAACCTCTAGCCATGCAATATAATAGATCACAAAACTAATTTATTCAATTTCAATTCGAACCGGCAGCAGTCTCAAATGACAAGTACCAACAAATGAACTTAACTTTTTGATTTGTCCTTTCGAACAGGCAAAGGTTCATAAAGCATGCAGCCTAGTCTTCAGAAAAACGACAATTTAGACAAAGTGATGAAATCACACGTTACAATATACAGGAGTAATCGTAATTTTTTTTTGTTATTATTTTAAACATACCTCTTCAATAAAATCAACTTCGTCCTCTTCACCGGACTGTGCCAGCTGCTTTCTTAGCGTCTGAAATGAGTTTCGTGAAATTAATAAAAAAAAACATATAAAACCTTCGTACATAACAAAATATGCATATATGATAAATATAGTTTTAGCTATCAAAATATCATAGCAGTAATGCTGCGCAAGCAATTTATTTGTTTTTAGGGTAATTTTTATGCGGCACATATCAATTATTCACTTAGTGACAATTTTAGCTAAAGGTACATATATGGATTGTTAATTACAATTTTATCGTATATTATTTACATTTGTGTATTATTTACAATTGTGCTGACAAGAGCGTCGAGTCCCATCCAAATTCATTAGCTAGTTTGCAGTGACTCGTATGTTCTCTCTAAATAAGAGTATATCAATACAGAATAATAGTTTAGGAATTTTTAATTAAGTATATAAAAATACATGTCGCAGGATACCAACGTACACTATCAATATTCGGTGTTTTTCAATGCGTGGAAATAAAATTATGATTATAAATTTAAATAATTTCTCATAACCACCCTGCGACATATGAAATTTAAAATATATATATTTATAAAAAAATCTACGGGTGCTAATAATTAAAAAAAAGATATTACGATGGAAATAGAGACGATTTGAAATCTGAGACAGAGAGGGGAAAAGAGAGTGAGAGAGAGCATACGTTGGATGGTCATAAGAACAGTGCATCTAAAAGCTATGTACAGTAAATGTTTTCAACGTATGAATGGATTAACCTTGGGTCTTTATTCTTGACTCGAGATCGCCAAGCAGGGCCTGAATGGTGTAAATACCTGTTTCACATTAAATCAGTTAACGGCACTAACAAAATATTGTGTGCTTACAGGCTGAATGAACCTTTGAATATGAATTAAAAACATAAATTATGTTGATGTTTATATCACATTGCGTAGGAGTCGTTATTAGTGCGAATTGCTTTCCGAATCTTATCGCCCTACTGTTTAAATACTGCATTATCAGCATACTTAAATTTTATTAAAGTTTTAAAAACAATCATGTTTATCACACGTAATAGTGTTTTGACAACTACAACGACAAGTGAGTATAATACTCCTATGTTGAATAAACATATTTTAATTTGAATTTATTTCACTACCCACAAGGTATTCATTGTTATTGCCTTGTATCTTAAAAATAAATTATATTATTTAAAATCTGATCACGTCCATAATATGCGATATGATCGTAGTATGCACTAAAATCTATTCATCTAGTATATAAGAGAGGAAGAGAAGAACCCCCAACAATACCCCATTTCTTCTGTATGGCCCAACTGGTTCCAGTTGAGTTTCTTAACGCGTGTTATGACAAGTATTCGGTACACTCACTTCGACGGACTGCCTATATTGCTCCATCATGTTTTTACTGGCGTCCAGCTCAGCTAGCTTCTTCACCACTACGTCAGCCACATTCTTCTCCGTGACGTCAATTTTATCCCTGGAAACACGCATATTTTAAGTTTGCATCTATGGGTGTTGCAAATATCAATGGGCGGCGGTCAAGACTTAATCGGCAAGCGGACTTGCCAGCTTCTTAAAAAAATGTATTAAGAGTGTCTATAAAGTAAAGAAAATACACTGATAGTTCTAAAGTTCTTTATTGCAAAGAGGCGCTAAAAACTGTTAGTACATTCGCTACACTACATTAAGGCCCTAAATTTAAAATTGGGTACAGCGCCATCTGTAGGTCGCAGGCCGAACTAGTAATAAACAACGTCATCTGTCAGTCCCGCTCCTAAATGGTCCTATACAGCGCCATCTCCCTGACGCGGTCCGAACTAGCGCGGCGCGCACGTACCTGAGCGCGTGCGCGAGCGCGGCGCCGGGCTGGTCGGGGGCGCGCGCGGCGGCCGCGGCGGCGAGGCGCAGCGCGCGCAGCAGCTCCGAGAGGCGCGCGTCGAGCGCCAGCACGCGCTCCAGCAGCGAGCCGCGCTCCGCGTCCTCCGCCTCGGAGCGCTGCCGCTGCGCGATCGCCGCGGACAGGTTGCGCAGCGAGTCGCGCTCCGACGCCGACGCGGACTCGCCATCTGCGCGTTTACGGGTTCTGTTTAGATCCGCTCACGCGATAATCCGGCGAGAGGACCCAAGTCTGGCCCGCGGTTACCTCTCCGAAATGACGAGGAGACAGCCCTGGTTAGGAGTCGACTGCGAGGGCCCAAGTTTGCAACCGTGGAAGCTCAAATTCTTAGCCCTTCATTGAAACGATTCACACAAAATATAACAATCGTACGTATCTAAAAAGCTATAAGATAAAACACGGATAGTATAACTATTAGACATGCTTTGCAACCAATCACCCAAGGCATAGGTCTAACAAAAGCCTAACTCAGCCGAAGTTAATCCCTAGTTTCTTAGGGTCCATGATTAAAAGTAATAATATGTCGTGTCGCCCATATTAGCATAAACAATTTCTAGCATAAGAACCGATTACTAGTTTGCAAACTTTCGATATAAAAAAAAGCATTTGGTAACAATTCTGCCTCTGTAACGATGCGCCTCGGATAAGAGAACGGAACAGAGAAAACAAAGCCGCTATTTAAAAGATATCTAAAAACACTCGCTAGTAAGCCGCGACCTAATTCCACAGTAGTCGTTACGTGGCGGTCGCTAAACGACAACAAAATGCGGTGGCATTTCTTCGACATTCAATAAGAGCACAAGCCTGTTTCGAATGAAAAAAATTGACTTTCACTTTGACTTTGAAAAGGCTTGAGAAATTTAGACTTCGACTTCGCTCGCCAATTGCCAAGTACCTCTGTCGTCGCCGTAGGACTCCCTCTCCGGGGAGAGCTCCTCCCCGCTCCAGGCGCCCGCGCACTCGTTGCCCTCGTTGCCCTCTCCGCCCTCCGCGCCCGACCACCACTCCTCCAAGCACTCTACCCAACGAGACCCACCGTCAAACTGCCGCTAGCTTATTTCGCTACACAATCGAAAGCCAGTGATGCGTCCCAGCGGGTAACGGTATCAATACACCAAGCGAGGTTAGTTACTGAAAGCTTTCCAAGTCGGCACTAGATTCTCATAATAGCGGACATAAATCTCTAGCCGTTTAATATACATTGATTTTTTTCTTTAATTATGTAACTAAATATATAAGAAAATACAAGATTTTGTGCATTAATGGCCGGTTTCAATATTCGATTTGGATAGATTTGGTTACTGGAGATAGAATTATGCGCCATCTATGTTACAACATCATTGAGTATTATAGAACTAATTAATGTTAAATACCTATCGCTAGTAACAAAATCTATCTGTATCATAAGATTGATTAGTTGCGACTAGCCGGATCGTCGTCTCGACTCCCGATCCAATCTAATTTCGACCTTAACCCCTACGGGCGAAGGTCTCAAATCGATGCGGTAAGCGTCGCAAGAACCCGAACTCACCGGGGTCCGTGACGAGGCACGGCTCCGTCTCGGAGTCGAGAAGGTCCGCCGAGTTGTCGTTGTCGTCGGAGACGCGCGAGCGGTCGTCGTCGTGGGGGGCGGCGGGGGGCGGGGCGGCGCAGGGGGCGCAGGGGGCGGGGCACGGCGCCGAGCGGAGGGCGCGCACTATAGCTCCGAGCAGCCCGCCGCGCGCCTCCTCGTCCGGCGACGGCTGCTCGCCGCTGTCGCTGTGGCTGTTGACCGCATTATGAGTGGATGTCATTTTATTTTACATTTTCTTGTATCTTACGCGAATACGTGGTTAAATAAAACGGTATTAAGTCATCAACTTTCATTTTGATTTTAAAGCGGGTTCGAAACACCGGTACCTTCAAAAGAGAATGTTATGTTCAACGTGACGACCGTCGCCTCCGGACCTCTTCAATACCTTTCAATGAATCCGGCTCTCGTTTACTACTTTTGACTTGAATGCCATACTAATGACGGCCCTAAGGATAACATAGTATAACAGTAATAGACGCTAGACTTCCTAAAACTAGTTGATTATATTTCCTTACGTTGTCGACTCTTACACATTGTACAGATATGTTTGCTTAAGGAGCCAGCTATTTATTTATTAATTTTTTCCTAAGGCCACAAATACTTTCTCCCTTCCACAATACTTTTTCATACTTCCACTTCCCCGGCGAACGCCAACAGTGAAAAACTAAGAGAGACGGGAGCCGATCTGTGTCCGGGCCGCTCTATTTAATTCGATATTCTCTTGCGGCCCGTATCCGGCACCGATGAAATTTTAGGCGCCTCCATATCTAAGAAACCGTGACGACTAGACATGGGCGAGCGTCGACGCCGCCGGGCGCACCTGTTGTAGGCGTCGTTGTGGTAGACGCTGGGCAGCGTGGCGTCGCGCGGCAGGTTGTAGGCGCGCAGCACGGCGTCGGTGAGCGCGCGGAGGCGGCGCGCCAGTGCGTCGAGCGCGGGCGCCGCGCCGCCGCCGCTGCGCGCGCGCGCCGCCGCCGCCAGCGCCTCCTGCCGCCGCTGCTCGCACATGCGCACCAGCTGCCGGCACTCCGCGCGCCTGTTGCGCAGGCGTCGCGAACGTTAGGTACGTTTTTCGAGTAACAACGCACCTTCCTTACGGCTACAGGTGGATGCTTGACGAGAGCCTTGTGAAGTGTGAGCGGGCGGAACGGTTACGCGAACGGCGATTTCTCGATTATTAATTTATCATTGAAAACCCATAATGAATTTTAATATTTGTAGAAATTGATGTATGATGTATGTAAACATGTGAAGAAGGTTGTACAGGGGGAGAGTTTATAAATATTCTGGTAAATGGTTTATTAGCACTTATATGGTATAAAATGGTATAAAGAATACGCGGTATAAATAAGTGGCATGGTTATGGTTAGACGGTGGCGAGTCGCGTACTGCCTCAAATTAGGCATGAAACGTATATAATTATGTACGTTAGTGTAATGTGCCTATGATGCACAAAGTGACAATGTCGCTGTTCGGTTGCGTAACTCCGAACAACATGTATATATTATACATAAATAAATACTTGTAGATGGATGATAAGTCTCGGTTTTTTTTTAATGTAGAAAAGCAAGCGAGCTGGCGGTCCATCTCTTCCACTCCACTTCAGTTTATTGTGTTCGGTTTAACGTATGAATGTTACTGGACACACATAATTAATGTTACTGTTCTTGACTGGAGAGAGACATAATTATGTGTTGTGCAAAGTGCCGCAACGAATATACATGTGTAGGTTATAAATTCGTTTATGAATCATCGAGCTTAAAATTAGGTCTGTTCATTGATCAATGTACAATTTGAAGTCTTCTGCGGGGCGCGTTAAGAGGCGGACTGTGACGTCACCTGCGCTCGAGGTCCGCGTTGAGGCGGACGAGCTCAGCGTCGGCCTCTCGCAGCGAGTCGCTGAGAGCGCCCGTCTCGGCCGCGAGGAAGTCCTGCATTTCGGCCGCCTCCCGCTCCGCCTCCGCTAGGCGCGCCTCCGCCGCGCGCGCCGCCTCTCGGCCTCTCAGTGCCTCCTGGAGCAGACACGTAACAGCATGAGACGATAGCTCGATTGTATTATTTTATTAATACTCTATTGTATTCATAGCGATGGCCGGACTTACTATTACATATAATCGATAAAAGTTTCGGATTGCAAAAATATTTCGCTCACTAACATACAATAACGATGAGTAATATATTTAGAAGATTTTGTAGCGATTATCTTGTTATTGTAATTCCAATTGCTATTCAATACCAAAGATTAATAATAAAATTAATTGAGGAAATGGGAACGGAAGGAGTGGGAGATTGTAGCGAGAGCGGAGGTGAGGGGGATGGGGTGAGACGGGAGAGGGAGATAGCGCGGAAGAGAAAGAGAGAAGGAGAGAGATGAAGAAAGAGTGAATAAACGAAAGGGGGAAAGAGAAAGTATGGAGAGAGCAGACAAACACTTACACCGTGTAGCTTGTTGCAATGATCCCTTAGTGCGTCTATCTCGCCGCGCTGCCGCGTCGCCAGCTCTCCTGCAGAGCGCAGCTGCTCCTCGAGGGCCCGCAAACAGCCGTCCGCGCCGGCACCAGCGCCTGCGAATCGATGCAAGAAATCACGTCAAAAAAAGAGAACGACTGATATTTGTTTATCAACCGACTTCAAAAAAGGAGGAGATTCTCAATTCGACTGTAATTTTTTTTATGTTTGTTACTTCTGAACTTTCGACTGAGTGAACCGATTCTGATGATTCTTTTTTTTTTTTAAATATCACCATATTATATAAATATACAGCGTGTCGTTACCACCGCGAAAATAAATGAACACACATATAGAGGATAACTTTTTAAAATTGTATTAAACATTTACATTCTTTAAACATCAATATTTACCGAGTTATTAAATTTTCCAAAACAAACAATTTTAGAACACCCTTACGTATAAAACTGTAACGTAAAGTTCATTTGTAAAGGTCACAAAGCATATGAATGGGTTGAATGAATTTAAACATAACATACTGTTAGAAGGAGAGGCTTGTAATGTGCGACGCTGTGGCGCGAGCCGTATAGGATGTTACAAATTTTGTTTCTTTTTTACTTAATTAGTTTATTTGAAAAATATATTTTTTTAAGTTATGGATTTTGTTTAACGTTAATATTTTTTTATGATTATTGGCAAGTAGCGTTAGACGTGTGTTCATTTATTGTCGCGATGGAAACGATACGCTGTATAGGAAGCAACCCTTCCTATGTGGTCCCATATTATAAATTTCATTGGTATTGGATCTTGGGCTCCGGAGATACGTAGGTAACTTCTGAAAATTAATTATAAAATGAATACATAGCGAGGTATTTGAAGTCGGATTGGTTTTTCGTTAATAAAAAAATTGACTTGTTTTTCTATTTCAAACCAACGATATTGTTGATTGAATCAAAATTGCACACAATTCATCAGCTATTCATAACTGACTCGATGAAAACTGTTCCTTGGTGATAAGTAATAAATTAAAATTTTCATAGTTTTATAGTGCTTTGCAATTAAGATGAAACATTAATATTGTTATTTAAATTAGTTTATGTGCTGGAAAAGACATAATAACAGATGCACCAACAACTGCTTCAAATGCAAAAAAAAAACAAAGCAGATAAAATACGTTTAGATTTTCGTCTGGATGGCCATCAGCCGTTTAGCTCTGTGGTTACAGCGGTTGAACGCGATTCCGGAAAATACAGGTTCGATTTTTTCTAAAGTTAGTTACAAATTATAAATATTTGTGTTACTCGAATTCATCAACATTTTACGGTGGTAGGGCCACGCAGCAGCCTCGGCTGTTGCACGAATGGGCAGGACCGTCCGGGTAAGTACCACGACCTCACAGAAGACCAGCGTAAAGTGGAAGTATGAGAAATACTTTCGCGTTTCCTCAGGTGAGTGAGGTAGCCGGAGCCCAATTTTCAAAAGGTTGTCAACGCATCTGTAACCCTCGGGAGTGGCAGATGTCCATGGGTGGCGGTATTCACTTAACATCAGGTGAACCGTCTGCTCGTTTGACAACTTTTCGCATTAAAAAAAAAATCAACTTTTGCTTTTAGAGAAAAAATTGGAATGTTCTCTTGTTTCCATCGTGATGATCATTTTCTGTTCACTGTGATTCACCGACTCGACAATGCAAGGCTACCCCAGCTTGAAGCTATTTACTATGAAAAGCGCGCAATAATGGTATGCGAGAATGGCAGGGCAGACAATAAAACGTAACTGTCTCTAGGCAGTAGCGCCGTTTGTATGCCAAGTTTGATTCCTCAGCACAGTGCATGGGAGTTTTAAAGAATAATTCGAGATTTATCAATTGAAATATGAAGAAATTTCTTGAAATAAAGTTAATTTACTATACTTTAATATTTACGTATATAACGTTTTCGTTTGAAAAGAAAAAGGATGTGTTAGAATTTACTTCTTTAGAATGATTATTGAATATTAAGTTATATTGCAAATGAACAAGCTTAATATGTTCTGTTTTACTTTATTAATATAAATATGTGAACTTCATAGACCTCATTGTTACAGTATGTGTTGCAGTAGTTTTAAGCTACGGAGTGCAAGAAGCGCTTGATTTTTGACGCTGAAGTAAGACCAAAAAGCAATGCGTGGTACCCGATCTTTAAGAAAACTGTGGAGCACATGATGCTTGGCCATGCAGCAAATACAGCGCTGGAGAAGCATCGAATGGTATACGTCGCAGTTAAAGGGGTCTGATGTTTCACCTTCATCGCCTGATGCCTGAACCCACAACATTAAGCGCGAGAGAGCTCGGTGTTTCCGTAAACTCGAAAAGGTCCCCCCCATCTTTCGTAATGCGTACAGCAGTTCAACAGTTTGCAAACATCAATTTTACCTTCCGATTATAACGTGATACGTGAGTCTCTTCAAGGCAAGAGCGAATAGGCTGTCACTATGAATTAATGAATACTTTATTGTCCACCACACATAAAAGGATACACAAAATTAACAATAGATAAACAAATTCATGGAATGCACAATTTCGCGGCCTTATCGTTTCATAGTGATCTCTTCCAACAATGGCGTAAAGGAACGTTAACTACGTAGGTGGTGCAATAGTAACATACATAATATACGACTAAATCGAATACATACAAAATACACACTCAATTCATACTGTCACTATCTAAGATAACATCTTACCTACCATCAGGTGGGATAATAAACACTGGCCGGTTTGTGGGTAGGAAAAAAAATACTTTTAAGGGTAGGAAAAAAAAGGTTTGAGGGTAGAAAAAAAACTCATCGACTCACCGGCACCGGCGAGCTCGAGGAGGCGCTGCGAGTTGCGCTCCAGCTCGGAGATGGCCGCCAGGCGCGCGGCCCTCTCCGCCGCCAGCTGGGCCTCCGCGTGCAGCCGCCGCTCGCGCTCCTCGGCCGCGTTGGCCGCCGCCGCGGCCGCCGCCGCCGCCAATCGCGCCAGCTCGGCGTCGCGGGCGCTCGCCTGCACGCCGCGGTGGCAGCGCGACACCTCGATCCGGCTGCATCATCATCATCATTAGCATCATCGTTGTTATCATTCTCATCATCATTAGAATCATCGTTGTTATCGTCATCATCATTAGCATCATCGTTGTTATCATCCTCATCATCATTAGCATCATCGTTGTTATCGTTATCATCATCATGAGGACGGGAGAGGGTCGGCACGACATGTGAATCATGTTGCAAGCGGTTTTGGTTATGTTTCTTATGCCCGGACGCCTGCTGACGTCAACCCTCCTTGAGAGAAAAACACCCACATGCGCAGCGAATTATCTGTAGGTCACACGAATACTTGTCCCGTGTGGGAATCGAAGCCATAGACCCCGACGCCGAGCCCATAGCTTGGCGACGGCGCCACCTAGTCATCTCGCGTCGATGCGGCTGGGCACAGTCGATACTTTGGGCCCTTCAACAGAGGAGAGCCTCCAAAGGCCGGCAGTGCAATTTTGACTCCGATGTTGCAAGTGTCAACAGGCGGTGGTGATCGCTTGCCGTCAGGTTCGTTTGCCTCTTTTCAAAAACGCATTAGGACATCCAGTCACAGCTGGAATATTTGCGCTATTAACTTACTTTTACTAAACTGTTTTTTATCTCTTTCAATACCAATGGATAATAATTAAAACAAATCAATATAATTAAAACCTAATCGACAGCAGAACTCGTGGGCTAGCACCACTGCATTTTAGCACCCCTTCACTACGAACCGTTAGGATGATAATAGATGACACGGTAAAGTATTAGAATAATGTGAAATGTAATTGAAATACTGCAATATAATCCTTAATTTATTTTTTATTGTCATCACTTAAAACTATCGTTTTATGGTAAAATAAAAAAATATATATATCTAGGTTTTCCTAACACGTTAATTAATGGATTTAAAATTCACTCCCTTTGAAAGTACAAAGGTCTAGCAGCTATTGAAAATCTTTTTAAGTACTTATTTAGTAAACTTCAATTCTATTACTTAACAAATAGATTTAATAAGATATTCATAATGCCAAAAAACCTAATTACCTCTCGATGTTGGGTATGATCCCTGCCAAAGCGGAATCGATATCTGAGCCCAACAGAACAGTCTGGCAGTTTTTCTCTGCGTAAATGCGCACTCTGGTTTTGATCGTCGATCGCGACGACGCAGAACGAGTGATGGTAGGCCTCCTGGAGGTGGGTGGCGTGCTCTCGTGCTTTGGCGAACTTTCTGGGTCGACATCGCGCCGCCTCCGCGGCAAAGTACCATACTTATCGGCGGCCACTCTCGTCGCACCGGAGTCTGAGACGGGCGTTAAGCGTGGACCGTTAGGAGGCCATTTCTTTTCGTCGCTCGGCGAGTTCGGCGTGCGACACCGAGCAGTGGAGGTCTTCGTAGGCTTGGCACGCAACGCGGGACTCTCGCGGACCAGGTTAGGTAGGTCTGCGGTGGGGCGTATTCGCGGCTTTGGGGTCAGCGGACGGGGCTTTTCGGGCGGCGTGGGCTTCTCCCTGCTCCTGGCCCGCTCCCGCGTCGCCAAGTTGGGGCCTCGCGGTGCGGTGGTCGGCTTCGGTGTGGACGAACCGACGGGGGAACTTTTCTTGGATTCGATCACGGTGACGTTCACTCGACGCCTAGTGCGCAGGGGGGCGCCCGCCAAGGATGAACTCTCCGAGCCGCAACCCGAGCCGCAGGATACAACGCTTGAGGCGCAAGAACGCGATCCACCGCCGCTGCTGAGGGCACGGCCGCAGCCTTCCACGCCGCTATCGCTGCCGGCAGCCCCGAGGGCCAGCTCGTCGCCCGCCGGCAGACTATCGAGGTCGCCCAGCGAACGCGCGTCGTCGATCACTTCACACACTTCGCTTTCTATAAACGAATCCACAGTCACATTTTTACCGGCTTCCGATCCTTCGAGAACAACACCACTCTCGTCTTTATTGTTCACACACGGACTAAAGTTCGCCTCATTCTCATCGTGGTCCGGCTTTGTTTCGTTTCCGGAGGCAGTCTCGTTGATTGATGACTCCGTTTTCGCCGCTCCGAGCACTTCGGTCGAACAAACGGCACTTTCCTCCTCCATGTCGACTATTTGAGTCACATATTCTGTAACAAAAATATTTTAAATGAAAATCTTTCCACTATTCATTAAGAACAGATGGGGTGGCAGCCTTATGCGGAGTGCCAAGTAATCAGTTCGATGCAACGGCATTGTGGGGCTAAGTATTCATTGTGCGCCGGCCCCTTGGATCGCGGGCCAGCAATCTCTAGGGAGCTTATTGCTATTGTTCTCTATTTGCTTATTCTAAAAACGTTAAAGGCACAATGGCTATATTTTGCTGAAATGAGAGCATTTTATTCAAAGCGAGACCTACAAGTTCGCTCGGACTTCTTGCGTTGTGACTTGTGACATTGACGTATAAATATAAACGCTTTGCGAGATTATTTAACAGTACTGTATGACTTGTACGGCTTCTTCGATCCTAGCAAAGTGGGTTTGGTTAAATTATTCATGGTATAAATTAGTGACATTGTGAATTATGATGCGTTTATAAATAAAAATAGCCTGCCTATACAACTTAAAGTATCAGGCAATCGATAACTTTCTTCGACAGCATGTCACTGATAATGTATTTAGGTTTCTCTCGTCTTCATTAAGGAGCTGATGGATAATAGCTAACGATTTGTAAGAGACGTGACTTCTATTTAAATCGCAACGTTTATAGACGTTAGACCTTGGCTACTTTGTTAAATTGCGGTAGCATTTTACAACTTCTAACTAATGACGTGAACGCGAGCCCTTGAAAGACAAAACAATCTTTCTTTATCACGTTTTCGTGACCCAAGGACAATAACGGTGCTTTTATGGCATTTGCTATAAAGTTACCCACACTAGACCATAGGTGTCAATACGGCATTGCAACAGATGGCCCGAATTTAATCCCCGTTTTTGTAGTCCGATCTATCTTTGATGATTGATTTGATCCATGAGTTCTATTTACTACTTCAATGAGTGAACGGCGAAAGTCTCATCAAATGTGAATCACTCAATTAGAATATAGCTCGGAGCTGCTTTGTATCAAGTTCCCGCACTTACCTTTTATACGTTCTGTACTTAAACTATTAACGATCTTACCGGCTTGCTGTCTTTAACTGTTGTTTACTAACCACGATAAAAAGAGAGAGAGATCACTGATAAGTATTATCTATGTATTTTATGACTAACAATCGATATATTATTATTACAAAACCACTTCGAGTTGCTTAGAAGATCCATTTATTATATTTACCATAAAAGATGATAACAAACAAGGATAGATGTTTTTCTTAATATGGCAATGAAAATGAATTAATCCTCTTTTTGTTGTTCTTATAAAAGGAAAGTAATGCTTTTATGTTTGTCTTCTATGTATTCCTAAAACATGAACCCTATTGAGATAAAACTTCTGCAATTTGTTAAACGCCCTTAAATCTCCAGACCGAAAATATTGCGCCTTTTGCTTGTTTGCCAAAATGTTATGTATAAACTAAAAAACTATTCCAGATACATTTCTTTTCTCGACAATGCAAGGCGTGCCGAGTATTTTTATTTTCTTTTACTACTAATACTAATTGTATTGAATTAGTAATGAATGATAAATGATAATTAATTTTAAATATGTAGACAGTACGTGGCGAAGTAGCCGTTGTAAACCTCTCTACATCGAAATTTATACAATTAATCGTAATGCAATAAATTATACCTAAACGATAAGAGGGCTGTTGGTCACATCGAAGCGTTTTTATCGACGCTTCGCCGAAGATAAGATAGACACTCGAGATCGGAGAGAAACTGGGCCTCCAAATGGATTCCTCGAACATTGCAATGGATCCGAGAATACGGGCTACGGCTTTGTGAGGGACGCGGGGTCGTCGCACTGTAATTCGCCCGGGGCGGCCGTTTCATCGGCGGGTATTTGACGCTTTAATTAGGGCCGCCGCTAAAGGCGCTCGCCATTGTCATATTCATTATTTTAAAATTTTAAAATTTTATTGTCTCCACTGTATAGTATAAATGCGATAGCAGCATATTTCGGCTTTGTTATTTTGTTTAGTCTTGTGAATAAAACACTAGTCATATAAAAACAATACAACGTTGATGTATGTTATACGAAGTTTTTTTATTTTAATAATTACATTGAAACGATTGCTATAATATACATAAGTGATGTGTCAGAGTTGTGCTCGATCCAGTCACATCGGACACACCTCATTCGTATATGTATTGTAGTAATGACAAACCCGTGAAAATCCCACACGACTTCCGGATGAACTTAAAAGCCGTTAAAAGAAATAAAAATGAAAGCGAACATTTACCAACAAAGACAATCGAGTCGGTGACAACCTTATCGTGACTAGTAGCATTGGCTACGTGAGTTGAGGACAAGCGAACATTTAGCACCAAAGGCAATCGAGTAGGTGACAACCCTATCGGTCACTAGGAACGCTGGCTAGGTGCGTTTCATTAGTCGTGGCCGTCGAGCCCCGACGCGCCGTCTGCGAGCTCAATACAAAACGCTTGTTTGTTTAACAGACACCGATAGGTAGACGCTGCGGGCATTAATTAAATAAAGTAATGCACGAAAAGGCCACGGCGAAGGCCCCGTCATTCGGCGAAACCGCTAGCTTTGGCACCGTTAAAAAGTTTCGACAACTGACTCCGTGTCATTGGCTTTTTCGTCGTTTTTAAACGCTTTAATATAAAGTTCAAATTAGGACGTGTTAGATAATAAATTAATGTTGCTATTAAAATAGCGTATCCTGGCTATGCAATAATAACTGTAATATTTAAGAACGAATGTAATTTTTATCACGAAATTAATTAGACAGAACAATAAATTATATAATAAATGAAAGAGATTCATCATACTCATCGGACCCCTATTTTTACATTGTAATATGTTTGTATTCCAACCAAAAGCTGTTCGCAAACTAAGCCCTAGGCAAACTTAATATGCAAGCTAAGTAGAAACTGCATTGTTCGCTATCTATTCCAAACACGCAGACCAGAGGCTTTTGACTTATGAACTTAAACTTGTTTCACGGTGTAAAACTATTGAAATGCCACAACGAGTGTTTAAAATCAACATAATTGGTATTCACAAATGTGTTTAAACATTGATTTCTAAGTTATTGTCAAGGCTTTGGTCCTAGGCCAGGTTTGATCGGTTACCATTATTTTATCGAGTTTGCTATTGAATCTAAAATTTACACAACGTATATTGAACATTTTGTACAAATTGTTATCTAAATGGTTATTGTTCCCAGTGCATTAGATTGTAACTTTAGAATACGATTTAGGATTTACTAGTAGTTAATAGCGCTAGATATGTCACTGTAATGTATGTAAATATCTTATTATTTATTAGACAAGACAGTTATATATCTTAAAATAAACATGCAAATAATCAGAAACTTATGATTAGTAGGGGTTTTACATGTTATCCACATAATATCATAACACTACAGCTTTTTTATATAAAATGACATTGACTGACAACGCAAATATTTTTTTAAAGTTTTTTATAGTGCTAATCTCTGCACTTAAGATTGAACATTAAAACATGTAGAAAGAAGGCGTTAAGATTTTCGTCGCTGTGGCTATCAGCCGTTTAGCTCAGTGGCTAGAGCGTCAGGCCGCGAATGCCGAAGACGTGGGTTCGATTCCCACAGCGGCGATAATCTTTTCGTACTTTTTCTACATGTTTAATGTTCAATCTTAAGTGCAGAGATTAGCACTATAAAAAACTTTAAAAAAAATATATAAAAAGCAATGGCGACATCTCTCGTTCGAATTATCGTTGTAAAACGATATTCGAAATTGTTTGTATGCTGGAAAGGATATAACAATAGATGCGCCAAGCATTGCTTCTTTTTTTTTTTTTTTTTTTTTTTTTTTTAAATAAAAATATCTTATTCACATAGACGCTTGCGCGTTCTTATGAAACGTCAAAATTTTACAAGAAATGAACACGTTCGTAAGTTACCACCGGTTCGGAAAGCAGTTTCTGTTGAGAAGAAACCGGCAAGAAACTCAACAGTTGCTCTTTTTAAAAAAAAAATCAGTTTACAATATAATAGTACATGTACAATAGTCTTGTTTTAGCCTACGTGAGTATCAACAGTATTAACCCCACACATTGGCGTCGTCAAATGCTAAATAACAATGTAGAAAGAAGGCGTTAAGATTTTCGTCGCTGTGGCTATCAGCCGTTTAGCTCAGTGGCTAGAGCGTCAGGCCGCGAATGCCGAAGACGTGGGTTCGATTCCCACAGCGGCGATAATCTTTTCGTACTTTTTCTACATGTTTAACGCAAATATTGTCTAAACAAGGTTCACTGCCTTGACACTGCAAAGTACGTTTTAAACGTTTTTGTCCAGAGTAAAAAGCTCTCGTTAACTATTTGTATAACTATTCGATGCGTTTGTGGAATGAACTCTGGTGTAGGGTTCAGACGCATTAATTCCGCTCAACGTTCCTGCTGATATGACAATAAATTCCCTGAGGACCAACTGCAACTCATGACAGTTTCGTATTCATTCAAATAGAATATTTAAAGCATCATCAGTCATGGATGGCTAGGGTCGATTGAATTATGCATTAAGAACGCAATCGTGGTTTCTTATACAAGAAATAATCTCTTCATTTAAACGCGGCATTTAGAGAGGACAGCGGCGATAGGTAAGAAAAGACGTTCAAAGAAAATTCCAGAAAATAAGGAAATAAGGGCTATTGTTTAAATGCTAATATATCTTTTGTTTCACTAAAATTAATTATAAAGCTATTGTTTGTATAATATGAACTTTACATTAATATTTTATTGTTCATTTATCACGCGTTTGCAAAGCCATTGGCTTTGGCAACGAATGACTTGGGTTTTATTCCCACACGAGACAATTATTTGTTTACCCGGCTGACTGCTGGTTGTAAAAACCTAGCCAATACCACTAAACTGGTGCACGTATTATTGGTGTTGGCTAGATTTTTACTATTACTATACCAGATGGGATTAAGGCTAACGAAGACGTCACAATTAATTTCAA